TTTTTTAATCATATTTGTTTCTGTTTGGAAGCTGGTTGAATGGTGTCTCATTTAAATGCTGATTTCCCTTGACAGCTCATATCCTAAGGTATACACCGCCAGCTTTTGGATGGGCGCATTCCAGGGCCCAACCGCTAAAAAACACCGATTGTGGTCGAGCAGCTGGCCCTTACTGGAGGGAATCAACAACGGTGGTGGCTATTAACCAGTACATTTTATGATTTTTGATCGTTTCGTTTCTCACCATCCTCGGCGGCTTTCTGTGCCAGCTCCACCAACGTTTCTGCAAACATGGAGGTGTATGTCCTTGGACCATGTCAAGCGACCCATCGCAAAAACGCGTTCAATATTGGAATTACACAGTCCGACAAAAAACATTCTATATTTTGCTGGCTAGGAACTGGGATGGGCGCAATTTGTCCTTCAACCGCCAGCGCTGAACAACGCCACACTTGTTTTTGTATTTCTTGACCAGCGGCCCCTTTGGCAAAAAGGCCGCGTTGCCGTTTCAGACGCTTTGACATGGCCCTCTGATGTCTCACGGCAAAGAAGAGCCGAGTGAGCACAAAAGGCGCCCAATTCCAAGCTTTGGAAGACAAATGAATTCCCTAGTTCTTCAGCAGGTGGCATCCGACACATTCATTGCCTGCTTTCAATTGCCGATCCAACCCTGGCTCATTGCCTTTCGAATGTTGATTGGTTGAAAATCTCTCGTCCCCATTGAGTACCAAAAGGTCGCGCGAATAGCGTCAATAGTGAACTGCTTTTACAGAGAATTCAGTCGGCAGGGCCTAGGAAGCGATCGCGGATCCTTCTGCAACAGTTGAATGTTGAAAGACATGACAGGGGGCCATTCAGGGCTTTGCAGTGAGGACTCCTTAGCAAGGGCTGGCAGATCTAGTGAAACACAAACTCGCTGGACTGGACAGATTGCGTTTGCAAGTCCCTTTTATGGCCGTGACACTTTGAAAGTAGCAGCCTCGCATAGCATTGCCCACAATCTATTCTGCGCAGCTCTCGCGAAAAAACTGTCGATACCCCTGGCAAATTCTGAACTAAGACGCTGCTCTCAAAGAGCTCAGAGACCCAAACGTCCCGAACCATCATCCTCAACCTTCTCCTTCTCGTCGTGGCTGTTTCGTAGGGGAGCCTTCCTCTTGTTGGGAGGCTTCTGTGGAACAACATTTGTGTGGTCGGTAGCCCCGACCAGCTTCCAAGCAATCATGGCCTGGTTGTCCTTCTTGATGTTCAGCAACTTCACGTAGGCTCCCTCAATGCGAGAAGAAATACATTGGAGGCTGTAGAGCGTCTTTTAGCATTGCCCCGAGGAGTTTTGTGTTTTTTTGACACAACGGTCATCAGATCGTGGCAACGCTCATGACATGATTGACAGACGGCGCGCCTCAGTCCAAGAGTGTGGGACGAAGAAAGTTGTTGGATGAAATACAAACAAGTGCATCGCTACTAGTAACAAGTGCCTTACTAGTAGTAACAAAGAAGCTATTAGAAACAAGAAGCTACTAGGCTACTAGGAAAAGTTGTTGTTGTTGAGCCCCTTGGAGGCATGGACACAATGAAGCATTGTCCTCCGCCAAAAGTTAGCTCATCAAGTAGTTTCCTCAGCACATAGATTTGTTTGCGACACTTGGTTCTTCTTGTCCAAGGTCATTATGGTTGCTCAGAGAAGCAGATTTGAAGGAGCGTGGTGTTGAGTTCCCACCTTCCTTTCGGACAAAGATGCTTTCTCACTGCCAAATGGAATTGGGTGGCAAAGTTCTTTCTAAACGCCGCTTCAATCCCGAATTCAATATGACCTTTGAGGTGTTAAAGTTTCTGCAGTCTGCGCACAGCAACGGGATTTTGACTTGCGAAGGTTTCTTTTCGTTGGAACCTGTTCAGTTGACGATATTGAAACAGCTGCTGTCCGATTTCGATGTCACAGTGGTCTATGTGTACCGGAGTCCTTTACCAAAGATGCTTTCGCAATGGCGTTTCGCCAGCAAACACGAATCTATACGAGAGGGCCTTGCAGAATACTTTTGGACTTCCAGCTGGAACCAGGCAGCAGATATCGACAAATTTATTGATGCGTTTGGGCGCGAACACGTGCGCATTCTGGACTATGAAGGCGTGTTGCTTGCTGGGGAGAACTTGGCGAATGTCGCTCTTCAAGTTGTTTTTGGAAACAGTTCAGCGTTGGAGCTTCCAAGCGACAACATTGTGAACCCTTCCGAAGTACCCACGTACTATCACATACGGTCTGTGTTTGGATACTTTTCAAGCTTTGTGCGCGCTAAGTATGGGTGCAAGGTGGTGCGGAACATTTCATTCAACTACTAGGGTTTGTATTTAGCGCAATTTGCGAAGCAGATTCCTTTGAAGTCGTCTGGTACAGAGCCGCTGTTCAAGGAAGGCGCTTCGGCATATGACGCTCAGCTACGGAAGCAATATTGGGATATCATCTGGTTTGGCGGACCGGGGCAAAAAGCAATGAAGTCTTCAATTCTTCCTCTGTATGTGCTTGACATCCCTCGTTTGGAGGACAACTTCGATTGGTGGGCATCACGGTTTGAAGAACAGTATGCCAAACGTGGACAAGCTGGGCAAATTGAATGTGCATAGACATCAAAAGCTGGATGGAACGGCAGCAAAGACCAGCGTGTCGTCATTTGTTTGCGGCGCAAGTTGTTCGATTTTGCGGGGCCCCATTTGGTGGCTTTAAACCCCCTTGTTGTTGTTTGTTGTTGTCCTTTGTCTCCATCTCTCTTCTGTATGCTTGGCTGAGATAATTCTGCCTTGTCTCTGGCACAATTCACACCACGTTTTTTCGTTTAGTTCAGCCCAACTTGGAGTTACTTTTTCAAGCGCGCGTGCTCATGGCTCAGGACTAAATGGACCTGTGACAGTTCCCATTTCTGTTTTGCTTGAATCCACTGCAAAATCACTGCAGGATTGACTTTTTCCCCATCGCACATGTCTGGTATTGAGAGACGGCCAAACCCCTAGATGCCGTCAAGATTTGAGGCTCACCATGTACCATCTTGCCACAAAAGCAACAAACAAGCCTTAATGGTCTCAAGTGCTAATGGGTCCATTGAATTCAGGGAAGAATGGACACTGATGAAACAATGACCGTGGAAGGGTCATTGATGGGTGGAATCACTGTTTTCGTCAATGCCAGTGGCAGGAGACAAGTTGGTGTTGTTGCATTCCCGCAGCAACACGTCGTGTTTGTTCACATGGCCTCAAACAGAAACCCATTTTGGATTATGACACCCATGCAATCAGAGTATTATGCACTCTACAGTGCTCACATTGCCATGCTCCCATGCTCAAGCGCCGGAGCCAGCTTTCATAGAGCTCCGCATCAAGGACCGTGCCAAGGAAATCGCCGGGTGGAACTTGATGTTTTCATCCTTGGATGGCTTGGATATGGATGAGGATGTCCATCTCAAAACCCCAACGCAACCCTTGCAATTTTGGTGGGTTTTCAACTTTTGTAGTTACTTTTATAGTGTCAATGGACGTGCAGCAACAGGCCACAGAATATGTACAGCACGTACACTGTGCGTGTGATGACTTAACTTTGGCTCAAGTGCGCTCAGCATAGAAAAGTATCGCGAGTTGCTTTGCTGTGCATGGAGCGCAGGATAGCTTTGTTAACTGTCGGGTTACAAGGTTAATATCCACTCGCAGCTTATCAGCCATAGCCGCTCAGAGGTTACGAGCTTCAAAATAAACCGAAAGACAGAATTGTCGACATTTGACCTGCAATGTCTAGTTCCAGAGGAAAGAGCAGTGAACAGTTTTCCCTTGCTGCACTTGGAGGACCTATGCCTCAACCGTCGCCAGGATCATTGACTGGTGCGAGTTCAGCAGATGCTACAGTAATGACTATGCCGACAGGTTCACAAGTTTCAGGTGAAGGTAGGGTCTTTCCACCGGAGCAGGCTGCTACCGGATCCAATGCAAGAACAGGCGGCGCAAAGAGAACATTGAAGAGATTCACGAGATCAACATCGCCAAGAACGAACATTGATAGATCGCCCAAGAGAAGTATTGAGAGAGTTGAGATTGAGGACGCGAGAGGTTTCGAAGAAAGAGAGATGCAACTCATCGAGGAACTAGGATCAGCCAGAGTTTCGTACAAGTATTTGCCCGATGAGCACAGTTGCCTACAATGCTGGATACGCAAGTCTCTATTCGAGATCGCAGGAAGAATTTTCGCAAATGACAATGTGCAACAAGTCCATACACGCTCACCTACAAGAGATGATGCAAGAAGACGAAGGAGCAACTATTAGAATTGGGGAACTTGATGAATCAATGGCAGATCACATATACTCGGTACGAAGAGCTTGCTCAAGAAAGTCACGAAGAACATTCACAGCTCGACGAGGTAAGATCCAAGATTTAAAGACATGACCAGTGAGATGCAGAGCGCTTTTCACTACATCCAAGAACAGAATCAGAACTCTGATGCTCCCAATCGACGTGTCATCAGTGTTGCAAATCAGTTCCAATCGCGAATGTTAGAGCTACAGGACGAGAATAGCAACATGTTGGAGGTAGCGCAGAGGGAGGGAGAGAGAGAGAGAGAGACAATGGGATAGTGAGATGCATCAAAGGCAATTGGTCGATGAGATAACTGAGACCACCGGTGATCAGTACCAGGAACGAAGGATGGTCGAACATCTTCGTGGACTAATTAGCAATACTTAAAGGATTATCGAACATCTCCATAGCCATTTTGGCTCAAGCCATTTTGGCTCAAGGGGCCATGACGCCCGGCTACGGTCCCATGACAACGGCGGTGTGCTGCTTGGCCTGTGCCTAGGTCTTGCTGGCAAGTCGGGGTTCGAAGGGTTTGATTCCCTTGGAAACATGGTGTGGCTTGGTTGGTGCGAACGGGGTTCAACTCCCCGGAGATCTGGCCTGGTCCGGCGGTTCATTCTGATCGCGGGTTGCCGTCAATGCTTACCTGGTGTTTGGCTTTGGTGAGCGGAATTTCTTGCCAATTCGTTTTACGATTTGCAATTTTTGGTAACTTCATTCTCTTTGTGATGGATTTCGTCGGCCGCTGGTTGGGCGGCCTTCACATGCCGGCCTTTCCTCTGCTACACGCTGGTTTGGCCCCCGTCGCAATGTAGCTGGGCCGGGATTCTTGCCTTTTTCCTCGAGTGGTGCTTGTGCTGCTCACTGCCTAGGGCCTCGGGGCTTGGTAAGCCTCGACATCTCTTGGCTGTTTATACCGCGGATTTATCCGGCAGGTTGCAGTCCTCAATAATCCTAATCCTTATACTTAAAGGATCAGAGCTTAGTGCCGCTGCGGAGATGAACGCACGTGACTTCAACCAGAAGACTGAAATCCACGGATGTCAGTTGGAGATCACCGAGAAGGAGATGAGAGCGCAACAGTATCAATATGAAGCAAGGGTGATGGCTGAAGCCATGGGAACACTTGAAAACACAATGGATGGCATTCATCGACAAGCCAAAGAAGAAGAACAACAACAACTGAAAGATGCCAATCTTGCTCTTACAGAGGCCAACAAGGTACTGAAGAGAGAGAACCTTTTGAGAACTCCCGCCTTTGATGGCCGTGAAGGAGCAGAAGTCAAAGAACAGATCCAAGAGCTCGAGCAGAACCTGCAGGAAACCGGGAAGGAGTTGCGGGAAACGAGATGGGAGAACGCGCAGATGAAGCAAAGCTTCGTCATGACCAAACGTACACCGAACGTGGTCGGGACGGCAGTCGTGATGGACGAGGGTTACCAACCCGTCGGCCAGACGACGAAGAGAGTTCACGTCTGAAAGAAGATGTAAGGTACTATGAAGGTGAAGCTCACAGACTGAGAACTAGCCGAGGTGAGATGTTCTCCCTTAGCCTTTCACAATCAACCCGCGACCTGCCTCCATGATCCTTGTGATGACATAGCCAAAGTGATTTTGGAGGAGAACTGGTTCTTCCCGTTTGAAATTTTGGCCAGGTACTTCCGATCTGCGCTTCACCATTGATACCGTGTTTGCCACAAACATGAGGTATGAGCTTACGTCCAAAGACCCACCCCTCTTCTTCATCGAGCCTCATTGTGATGGCAATGTCACCGTTCGGACCAACTGGGATATGAACGTCCATGATGCTTGTGTACGGGGTCGTGAGAATGGCTCTTGCTTCTGCACCTTTCGGGGTCATGAGAATGGCTCTTCAAATCTGCTCTGTTCCCGGTCTGGTTGGTAACCTCCCACGTATCATATCTCTTGATGTCTGGTCTCAATGGCCTCTTGATCAGTGGTTCGTTGAATATGATCTCACCAATGTCATCATCAAATGAGACCTTCCTGTTCTTCACGTTCTTCACCTGCACGCTGGCTGCGATTCCTTCTTCATCAGACTCCTCCAAGAAAGATAAGTCTCCCACCGCTGGAGCTCCATGTTTTGCCTTAGGCTTTGGCTTGGGCTTCGGCTTTCGCTTGTCTTCATCAGTATCAGCTGCTGCACAAGTCCCTTTCTTGGGCGCTGCCTTCGGGTCGTGATCGAACTTGCAATCTTTTCCTTTAGGGCAGTTTCCTATGATCCAACTCCAGCAAGCAACCTTTCCTTCACGACCTGGTGAACTACTCCTTGATGGGGTTCTTGCTTTCTTGTGGCTGTATGGACATCATTTTCCTTGGGTACATTTCCCCTTGACATAGAACTTGCGTGGGATCTTCTTCTTATCTATACTTGTACTTCTGCCTCTGTCTTTTCCGTCGCCTTTGCCCTTTCCTTTCCTGTCTTCAGGATGTTTCTTCAGAATCGGTTTAGGCTTGACAAGGCTTGCTTCTTCCGTTTCACCCAAGCCAGCTGATGGCTTCGGCTTCTTCTTCGGTTCATTTGGCGCGGCCTGTGGCTTGAGGTTTTGGAATATACTGGCAACCTTCTTGACAGCTTTCTCCTTTTCGAGGAGCATTTTGTCTTCAGTCTGTCTTTCGATATGTCTTCGGATGATGTCACGAATGTTCTGGTATGTCTTCTTGGGATCTCCTTCATTGAGGCTGTTGTACGTATGCATATCAAAAGCCATCAAATTGGAATTCCTTACCTTCCTCCGTAGAAGATCTCGCAGGGTCTCTTGGGATATCCGTTGGTTTCATCCCTCCTATGATCTCATCTCATGTGTGGAAGAATGGAGATAGATTCCTGTCTCCTTGGTGCTCCAACTGGTACAAACGCATGGATGTGTACAAGACCTCAACGTTGGATGTTGTCTTGAAATTGAAAAGAATCAGTGCCAAGACCTCTCTTCCTTTGATAAGGGTGGAGGCCCTGCCTTTAGCATTGATGCGGGTCCTCAGCTTCATAGCAACATTGTTCCCGTCTTCTGTGGAGTCAGTGACTACCTTGGTCAATGCTAGACCCAACTTCGCATCGATGGAATGAAACCTCGGATCGCCAGAATCCATAAGCTTGTCTGGGTCTCCGTCATCAATGGCTTCTTTGATCCAATCAATCCATGGTTGCTGATCAGAATCATTTGCTGCAATGATGATTGCCTGAATCAGATTGGCTTTCCACAGTCCTAGGTCATTGACTTTGGGCCATGGAGGCACATTCACCTTGGATTCTTTTTTCCTGGAAACCTTAGTGGTTGCGAAAGTGGATGAGG